TCTAAAAATACCTGCAGCAACTTTGTAGTGATCTGGCTTCGTACTAAATTGTTTATGTATTATGTATTGACTTAAATGAATTGATTAATTTGTGATATACATACTCTTCTATGCAATGGGCTGCTGTCAGCACTGTGTCATTTCGAATTAAACTGCCCCCACATATGTGTTGACCATAATATTGTAAGGACACCTATGAACGATTCATTTTATTTGTAGATAATTTGACAAATTTAATGACAAACACTCAACACTCACCAAAAATTCACAAATCCGTTAAGTGCCAACAAACATCAAAATTGTTGTATGTTGAGTGTTTGAATTGGAAAATGGGTTTATATTTGATATGGTTGAGTGTTTGAATCCTTGAAATTTTTCAAAAATTAAATAAGTGTATTAGATACATTTTTCTTATTTTTCATTAATATTTTTTTAAGAAAGAAACATCTCATGCTCACGGAGCATCAAATTTGAAGATCAACAAAAATTTGAAGAGTAAAAAGAAGTTGATAAAAAATTATATATCAGATTTTTTTAATAATACTTATTTTTTAATAACGTATATACACTTCTTATTTATACAATTATTTCGAATATTGATCTAAATTGGTAATTTTTAAGAATAGTATATATTATAGTTAACAATAATATAATGAACTAGAGTAAAAGTTTACTTTATTTTAAACTAAAATGATACCAACCGGAAATAAAAATTGTCCTTTGTTTGCAATTTCTCCACCAACAATTCTCGACTCCCCGTCATGTTTATCAGTCATCTCACCTGTATAATACAAAAATATATATGTTAAAATATGTGATTTACAATAATTCGATAATTTAAAGTGATCGCTAAGTATTATTCACTACTTAATATAATATCTGACACACACCGCATTGCAAAATCGTTGCAAGTGCAACTAAAATGATGCCATAATTAATCATTTTAATGTTGACATATGCCAAAGATATACGAAAAGGTATTTAACTATGCTTGGTGATATATTTGTATAATTTGGTATCAGCTTCGTTATCTAGAAGATAAATTCTGGTGTACAATCACAGTTTTCGATACTAATAAAACTGTATTTACCTTTAACACGCTTAAGTTCGATGATACAGATTTTATACTTATCGATTGCTTGACGCTTTGTATATATATAGATATATATATATATATTATATATATATATAATAATATATATATAATAAATCTAATTACTTTTTATCAATTATATTAATTATTTGTGATTAGATTTAAAAGATACACTTGTAGTTTGAGTAACAATGTACAAAAAGAACATGTTTGTAATAATTTTCATAAATAATCGGTCCTAGAGCCATAAAATTGTTCGAAATACAAAATTATTTTATACCAATAGTTCTTAATATAGAAAACTATTATTTTATACCATATAATTAATTTACTGGTTTCATTTTTATTTCTTATAATTTTTGTTGGCACCGTGTTCTTATTCATTAATTTTCAATTTTACAAACATAATTTTTTAACAAAATTGATTTGTTTTAAATCTTCAAATATAAATGGTAAACCTATCTAATTTACCTTACCAAATAAAAATTTTTATTACACTTTTTTATTTTCATTCACGCACAAAGTAATGAAATCGTAATACAGTTTATTAGATTCGTTCTCATTATGAACAATTATTGCCAAACGAAGAGATTACAAAAAAACAATTACAATTTTTTATTTTTTATATTACAAATATATATTTAATACATGTATTATATTATCTTAAATACTAAAATTGTGACTAAAAGTAAAATCATTACATGAGACTGCCTTATAATATAAGCATTATTTTGTGCATTTTTAATCCATTCTAAGTAATGTGACACATCAGTATAAACGCCTGGATTTTTACCACAGCCCTCTCCAAATGAAACAATTCCAGCCAATTTATTATTGCATACAAGAGGACCACCCGAATCTCCCTGAAAATTATAAATGAGAATTTAAAAAATAAACAAATATGTGTATACTCATAAAAATAATTGTAAGTTAATTTCACATTTAGAAGCTAAGTGAGTGAATCTTTCGAATATCATCTATTTTTATTGATTTGCCTGATCTGATCGTGTATGAGTATTTATCCAAAAAACGATATTTTAATTTATTAGAAATTTATTTTCTTACTTGACAAGAGTCCTTTCCTGGTAATCCACCGCAAAGCATGTCACTATTTAATAAATTCATATAAATTTTTACACATTCTGTTTTAGGAATGATTGGTATTTCTACATATTGAAGAAAAGGGCTTCCTGCCTGCGAACCCTGCAAATGGAAATCATAACGAAATCAATGTATCCGAGTTAAACTCGCAAATTTCCTAAGACAACTTTACGTTCGTGTTTTATATAATTTTATATTATTAGTAGATATTAAATCTTACCTCATATGTATCGCCCCATCCTATTACTGTACAATTGGTATGATCCTTTACTGGATCAGTGTTCAACTTTATTGCTATATCTGAAATAGACTTGTTTGATGATCCAACTGGTTTTACCTGTTGAAAGTAGATACATTTTATTGCTATATGATATTTAACCAAGGGCTAACACTTTGTATAAAGTGATGGTGGTGGCATTTACCTTAAGAACTGCTATATCATAATCAAAGTTTATATCCATGTTGAATTTTTTGTGTTTTATTATTTTTGTCACTTTCATTGAAACGGTGTTTGGAGATTCAATTAGAGTTGTTGTATTGAAAGCAACTGTGTAGAATTCAGGTTCATCTCTAAAAAAATTTACATAAAATATTAGAACTGTTTAACACGTTGGCAGAAGTAGGAACTAGTTAATTCCACTGTGTCAACAACCCCATTAGGAAATAACGAGGGGATGTTGACACGTTGTAGACACTCGCAGTCAACGTGCTAAATATATACTATTTTATTTGTTTTTTTGTCTATTTATTATAATTGCTTAGCTTACCGTACTTATAATTTATTTTAATTTTTCTTAAAATTAATGCTTAATCACTTATTTTTTTTATCCAATTTGAAAATATTTTTTTTATCATATTTGGCAATTCGCATATATATTCACAGAATTACTGCTTTTTTTTATAAATGCAGATTGCAATTTAATATAAAAAATGAAGTAATAAAAAATATACATACATGATAATACAGTGGGCTGCAGTTAAAACTGTGTCATTTCTAATGAGACTACCTCCGCATAAGTGTTTGCCGCGAACACGCAAGGATACCTGAATTAAATTTATTTATATAATTTTCTCAATATTTTTATAATAAAAAAACACACACACAGGCACATCATATTTATTCATTAACCTCAAACTGCTTCATAATTTTTGAAATTCTGCATTTGAGCAATTCTGAGCATACCTTGTTGATATTTTCAATTTTTGCTTGCCAAGATCTTATTTTTAATGAACGTGTCATTTAGAAAGCATTTGAACGCTTATTTCTATATTTTCTTTATTATTTATTACGATAAATTAATACACAAATAATTATGTTGCCTGCCGAATGTTATGGAACTGTCTATATTATAAAGGCGTTAAGGGGCACAACTAGTAGTGTGAAATTTTCAAAAAATCGAATTTTTCCATATTTCGATAGGTTATACCTTGAAAAACAACATACCAAAATATTAAATCGATATCTTAGATAGTTTTTGAGCCACAGCCATTTAAAGAGTATATATATAGTATATAGTATAACGATCATTTTATCAGGCGTTTTTCTCGAAACAGCATTTTCCGAATTTGCTGCAGTGATTACTCAAAAACAAATGATCCGATCACTATCGAATTTTATTTACATGCTCTATATATAGTTCTCCGTAAAATGAACTATCGATTTTTTGATCGGATCAAAAATCGAATTTTGGCAGTCCAAAAACGACCAAAATATTGGGTAAAATTCGACTTCTTTTTTAAAATGCCGCCATTTTGTCAATTTTTGATTTTTTTTTATTGTAGTTCATTTTACAGACAATATTATCTAGTTTAACGAGAAGTTTTTTTTTTAATTGCATCCACGTAGAAGACCGGAATCACTGCAGCAGTGAAGGGTCTTTTTTTCGCGCCGTTGGAGATCGACGATAACTTAAAATATATTTAATTTTTTTCTTCAAAAATTTTACTATGTATTCTCAATACATGTGTAAACATATTCTTATAATTTTGAAATGATTGATAAAGTATTTTTTTTTAATATAAATTCCCAAAAATCACCTTCTTTTTAGGCAGTTACACTAGTTGTGCTCCTTAAGAGTATATGTCACATCACATTAATTGAACTTGAGCTTCAAATTAACTTAAATTTTCTCAAGACCATATTATAAATTTTCACACTCACTGCAAAAGAAAATTGACCTTCCACTGCAGGGCTTCCTCCAACAATTCTTGTATCGCCATTCTGCTCAAACCCGCACGTTTTTCCTAAATCACCAATTAGATGAAAAACGTTTTTTAATTTCAAACTTTTTATAATAAAATTTAAGGTTTTAAGTAACTTAATATTTGAGTAACAATATCTAACTCACCAATTGGTATATTACCACAAATAACGCAATAGCAATGGTGAATTTATGCATGATAAAATTAACTTTTGCGAACAGACTGATATCTAATCTATTGTCTACATTATTTATATATTTATACATTTATCAATTGTAGATAATTTATGACTTTAGTGGAAATAGGGAATTTTCGATAACTCATAATTATTGAATTTTTATCAATAAGTTATAGGCGGGCGTTTATCTCTATTTGAGACTAATATGATATTTTAATGATTCTGCATCTAAGTTAGTTTATTGTTATGGTTTGTGGTTTTTAAATTAAATATTAATTTGAGAGGATATCATGTAGATCTTAATTATGAAGTGTCTAGGTTTCAAAATACAAAAAGTTCATACTACACCAAGTATGTATAGTATGAAATTGATTATTTTCCTATTACTATGTGAACTTTATCTTGGTAAAAATATCATAATAGTACGTAATAATTTTGGTTATTTTTAAATTAATGGAGTTATAAAGATTTGTGTTAAAGAGTTCAAGCCACTGTTCTGCGTACGATAGCACTTTATTCAAAATCGGTTCGGTTGAAATATGAAAGTATTTAGTAAACAAAATTATATTTTCAATATAATAATTGAACTTTTTGTTCTCTAGGTTTGATCTTAAAATTTTCATCCATCTAGCCATCTGGATTTTATTATAAAAAGCAATTTTATCTGATAGTACTCTGAAATTTGATTGTACTTTGAAAAATTACCTGTTGCACAATTATATCAGAGAGAAAATAAGTTTTTCATTAATGAGATAATGAAAAACAAAAAATGAAGAAGTAAGATCTGAGTATTGAAAATATAATAAAATCTGATTACTAAAATTAATCCCTGACAAAGAGAATTAGAGATAAATGCACTTATTATTATTGATGCACGTGCAATAATGAATTAGGGAATTCCAAGACAAAATGATAATAGTTCACCTCTGTTTAGTTATATTCTTCCACTAATTGTTTCCTGCCTCTCCTATGTAAGTCGTATGTGATGTTTATCTTTTTGTCAAGTAGTATTTGATATCAAAATGCCAATTATGTCATCAAATGATTAAATAAATATAACTAAAAACGCTTCATTTATTCAATAGTAAAATGATATAAAAAACGGAATTCTGAAATGATGAAATTATAAAAAATCTGTTGGCACAGAACCAATTGGAAGACTTCAAAAATAGTTTTTTTTTAAGTATTTTTATTTTATATTTTGTAGTTTTATTAGCTTTCCTATACAGTTTATTTTTTGTAAATCTATTTGCTATTTTTACGTTTCAAAGTTATTCTGATTTGACATTAAAATAGATAAATGTATTTACATATGTATGCGAGTCAAAATTTACTTTTTTGTCGGTATTTTTCAAACAACACTGTGTCTGTGACAATTTAAAAATCCAAAAGCCATTCAATGATACTAGATAAGGACTTTTGATTAGTATTGCGCGTCGATTCACCAAAAGTTTCTTTGTAATTAGTAGATAAGAAAAATTTTCCGTCAACTTTTTTTGCTAAAATTCCTGAATAGATTTCAGAAAAAAATTATAAAAAAACTGTTCGAAAATCAACGGTTTGGAATCGGGTCGTTAGAACAATCCTTTAGACCCAAAATTAGAAAATCCTTTTGACTTTTTGAGCCTCTAAAATTTCGAGTGTAAATCAACATCTCGAGATATTATCATGGGTTTACAAAATGTTGTTTAATTATAAAAATTCATGTAAATGTTACAAGTTGTTAAAATTACATTTGTTTTACATTCACTTTAAAACAAGTATAAAGAAACATGAGTATTTTTTTATTTTATTTTTAAAGATTAAGTATGTAATAAATTAAATTAATACAGATACATGTATAATATATTTGTTTGAAACGTATCAATTAGAATGGCATTAATTACTTTTTAGCGAAGGCGTAAACTTAGTTATCAAAATAAACAGTTTTATCACTCTGCTAAATTTGAATTACACACAACGGGAAGCAAAATGACACTTTTACATCTAGTTTCCAATAGTTTACTTAATTAATATTTCTAATCAATCAAAAATTATCGTAATTGTGTCATTCAAATATTTATGAAAAATAAAAACTATGATATAAATATAAATATTTAGGTTCATGTTATTACACTTGTTACTCTCATGTATATTAGAAACATTTTGTTTGTTATCGGTTCGATCCGTCGATGTAGGAGTAATAGTATTTGAAGTCCATGTAGGGATAAATGTATTTGAAGTCGATGTAGGAATAAATGTATTTGAAGATATATAGTCGCTTTCCTCCAGCTTAAGTATAGTTGTATTGATCCAATTATTATAATGTGATATATTTGTGTAAACTCCCGGATAATCTGGATGTCCGCAATATACACCCCAAGAAACAACTCCTGTTAAGATTCCGTCGCATACAAGAGGCCCGCCAGAGTCGCCCTGAACAATAAATAATAAATTTACAATTTCAATACAATAACAATTTTTATGAATTTATGATGTTAATTATAATTCCTTTAAAGTAATTTTCTATTTTTGCAAAATATATAACTATTAGATATATATGTACATGTGCGTATGATGCAGCAATGCCCCCAGACATTTCGGTAGCTAACGTCGAAATAATAAAACGATTTTTCCAGTAGAAAATACTCTATTCAGAACTTGAATTCTTAGAATAAAATTTATCTAAAACATGCCCTATATTAATCCAAGTAAACCCACTTGTTTAGTCACGCTTACTTATATTTTACAATAATCACTAAACATTTTTATTTTTTGTATATCTCACGTGCTATCCTGAAAATCAATCCTTGTTGGATTTCCCATACATATTTGTAACTTCACTGACTGATAAAAAGTACATTTGTGCATTTGATGGTTCCATGAACTTTTTCATAGGATATAATCATTGCGAAATATCAGGATTTGCATACGTGGGGATATAGCTCAGGCGTAGAGCGTTCCACTTTCTTGCGAACTGAAAGGTCCCAGGTTCAAATCCTGGTGTCCCCGTTATTTTTTTCTGCTTTTAATTAGTTTTCAATTGATTTATTTAAGTTTTATATATATTTATGAATATATCTTAAATTAAACTAGTGGTTATGGCATCGTGCCCTAAGGCAAATTGCTGAAACTTCCCATACCATAACAAAATGATCGAGGAATATTGAATGTTTTCAAATAGATTATTATAAATATTGTAACATTGTCTAATTATTGTATTGTAGCATTGTAAAATTTAAAAAAAAAAATCCGAAAGCAATTATTTTGTTAAAACAAGCAGAAAGTTCTTTGAATCATTCAAATCTGACGCTTAGTTCTCTCAAAAACTGCAATTTTTGCACATTTAGCTCTGTATCTTCGAAATGGCTAGACCCGCCTTTGCCAAAAACTAATCACCTTACCTCTCAAACATTACAAGTTGAATGTTTTTTAGATCATTCAAATCGAATGCTCCGTTCTCTCAAAAACTCGATTTGTATTTTCTGCACTTTTTGCCCCGTATCTTCGTAACGGTTAGATCTGTCTTTGCCAAAAACTAATCATTATAGCTCTCAATCAATAGGAATCGAATGTTTTTTGAACCATTCAAATCGGTTGATCTGTGCGCCCGAAAACGTGGACGAAAAAATGCGGACGTACAAAACACACACACACAGACACATAAATTTTTTCTGAGGTATGCCAAAATGTTTAGAAAACGAGAATATATGCAAAAATTTTCATTTTCGATTTTTGGCCCATTACTATAACTACCCTACGGACATTTAAAAATTACAAATCGCTTTACTTAGAGCGGGGCTAGATGAGCAAATTTTTACTTAAACGGATGTAGCTGTTCAATGATAAGTATCAATAAATTGCTAAATACCAAAAGTGTCAATAGTATTTTTCGGTAATAAGTAAAATTTAAGAGCTACAGTAAAAAGTCAAGTATGCTCAATGTATCCCATAAGTGTTTAGTTGATATTTTAGTTGATCACTAAAAAATTATAATAAAACCATAGGTTTAATGTCGATTAGTGATGAAATATAATAAGTGTCTAATAATCAGTTCTTTATTTATAGTCTTTATTGACGAAGAAAACAAAGCTTATAGTAATTTTCTTTGAATAATTAACCAAAAATAGAATCAACAAAACAATACCGTATCTTAGGAATAATTTCACCACTATATTCAATCTTTTTGTTTAAAATAATTATTTTTTTATATTATTACTCATAGACTTAGCTTAAATCTTTAAAATAATAATTATTTTTTTGGAAATTAATGGTAATTGCCTTACAATTAATGACAGAACAAGTTTAGCAACTATGCTCAACTAACCCCAACTCGGAGTTATTAATAGCTTGGTTTAATAATGTGTAATAGTGCGGTGTATTTTTGTGTAAATAATTTTCTGTAAGTATTTATCATTTTTCTTTCGGCATTGATTATAAAATAATTTACTTGTTCCAATGAATGACGGTCTCGACACTCGACGAAGACCGAAAAGTATGGTTAAATAAAGCTTATTCACAAATGATTAATTTTTTTTTTTGCTAGGTGTTACTGCCCTAATCAGCATAACTCATCAAAATATTTATCAACACCAAATTCACATAATTCAAAATACATTTGTGCGTTTGATGGTTCCATTGACTTTTTCATAGGAAATAATCATTGCGAAATATCATGTTTCAAGTATGTGGGGATATAGCTCAGCCGTAGAGCGTTCACCTATAATCAGAACTGAAAGGTCCCAGGTTCAAATCCTGGTATCCCCGAAATTTTTTTTCTTCAGTAATAAGTACTATTTTTTCAATTGAATTATTTTGAATGATAATCAATTAATTATTAATTAAATTCGTTATTAACAGTCCTTATTGTTCTATGAGTTGTTATGATTTAAATTAAAATATGTATGCATAAGTGTGTGTATGTATGTTGTAAGCATGTTTGCACTTTTAGTAGGATTACGAGAATCATAAAGTATAATTTTTACCGAGCATGCATTTCTGCCTCCACCTGGAAAACTGGCACACAACATAGCTTCTGTTATGGGACTTATTCCGGCGAATAATTTTGAGCATTGAGCTTTTTCTTCTATGTTCACTTCGACTTTCATAAGGTGCTCAGTGTGATGAACCATCAAATGCATTCCATTGACTTTTTCGTAGGAATTAATCATTGCGAAATATCACGTTTTACGAACGTGGGGATATAGCTCAGCCGTAGAGCGTTCACCTATAATCAGAACTGAAAGGTCCCAGGTTTAAATCCTGGCATCCCCGAATTTTTTTTTCTTTAGTGATGAGTACTATTTTTTTAATTGAATTTTTCTGAATGATAACCAAATCATATGCATCAAATATGTATGCATAAGTGTGTACATGTATGTATGTAAGTACGTTTGTAAGCATGTTTGCATTTTTAGTAGGATTACGAGAATTATAAAGTATAATTTTTACCGAGCATGCATTTCTGCCTCTACCTGGACAACTGGCACACAATATAGCTTCTGTTATGGGACTTATTCTGGCGAATAATTTTGAGCATTGAGCTTTTTCTACTATGTTCACTTCGACTTTCATAAGGTTCTCAGTGTAATGAACCATCAAATGCATTTCATTGACTTTTTCATAGAAATTAATCATTGCGAAATATCACGTTTCACGAACGTGGGGATATAGCTCAGCCGTAGAGCGTTCGTCTCCAATCCGAATTGAAAGGTCCCAGGTTCAAATCCTGGTATCCCCGATTTTTTTTTAGTAATGAGAATTATTTTTCCAATTGATTTATTTTGAATGATAATTTTAAATTCACTCTTAACAGCTCTTATTGTCCTATGAGTTGTTATGATTTAAATTGAAATATGTATGCATAAGTGTGTGTATGTATGTATTTTTTGTAAGCATGTGTGCACTTTTAGTAGGAGTACGAGAATTATAAAGTATAATTTTTACCGAGCATGCATCTCTGCCTCCGCCTGGAAAACTGGCACACAACATAGCTTCTGTTATGGAACTTATTCCGGCGAATAATTTTGAGCATTGAGCTTTTTCTACTATGTTCACTTCGACTTTCATAAGGTGTTCAGACGGTAACTTGATGGCCTTTGATTAAACAACAAAATTTTATATTAGACATGATAAATGGCAAAAACAATGTGGTATATGGATAACTGCAGTTGAATGATCGTTGAGTTGTAAACAAATATTTTAGAACATAACATTCAAACATTTTTTCCTACAAATGGTTCTTCTTACACAATATGCAAATGAATATTTTCAATCTAATGTTCGAAAATATTGGTTAAGCAATTACATTGAAAAAAATGTGAAGGCAATGATTGACTCAACAACGCAACCTTTGGATCATTTTTAGAATTTAGCTAAATATGTTTATTATTTTATAAATTTATTTATGCATATGTTTTATATAATAAATAAAATATTTACCTCGTTTGTTGTGCCCCAGCCTGAAACCAAGCACGAAGTGTCAGGTTTTAAGGTTTCTTGATTTCGCACAAGTATAGGTGCCGTTTTGTTTGAATATTGAAATTCACCCTTGATCTAATAAATGAGAGTCTAATGTGGTCATGCACTTATTGACTATTATCAATGTGGATTGTAAAATTTAAATAAAAATATTTGTCGTCTTTTAAGTGATCATAGTTATAAAATTATGTTTGCTGTCTGTAGTATATTTTTGACTTATATTGCACGTGAAATTGTGAAATTGTATTTATTATTTTCACTTAAATGTATTGATTTTGTGTATTTATCTTGAATTATGTATTAAATCATATTACTTAAATGTATTATACATAACTTTTAAAGTTATAATATACATATTTCATGATAATATAATTTATGTGCCGATTCTACCGTAAAATAGACCAATGTTATGGCAAGGTTATTTTACGTAGAGCTTTTCGTATAAAATGGTACGAAATACTGTCAAAATGTTATGTATTTCTTGTACGATCTTATGCTATATGTATACTATATATTGCCGATGCTCTACATTGTGAATCATTAATATCATGTATATGACTTTACTTTTGTTTTAGAAATATATTTTGTTATTTAGTACCTTTATTATTGCTACATCGTTCTCCACTAATATCGGATCATAAGATTCATGTTTGATTATATCTTCGACTTCAAACCGAGTACTATTATGAGATAATTTTGTAGATCCTGTGACAACAAAAAGATATTGACGCTCATATATGCAACAATGTGCCGCAGTTAATACGAATCGATTTTTTATAATGGTTCCTCCACAGAAATGACCTGAAGGTGATCTTAACGATACCTGAAAAATAAATTATTCTTAAGATACAATATATTTTTTACAAAATATGTACCAAATTGAAACAATGAAATTAAAGTTCTTTTTCACTCTTATTTTCACATTTTCTTTACGTTAATTCATGAAAATATGTTTTTGCTCTACTATGATTCGGGAGTAACATTTTTTTCCCAATTTTCTTATGTATACATGTAGTATATGTACGTACATGTATAATGATTTGGTATATTTTACAAATTATTCAAAATTTTGGACATATATTAGAGCTTTATATATCACCTGATATGGAACCTGGGTAATATCAACTTTAACTCCGCCAATGATTTTAGTTTGAGATTCAGTTAAACTGCTAAGGCGTATTTCCAAGCACAATAATAAACCTACAATTATTTATCATTAAGTGACTGAGAAATTTAGTTACTATAAGATATAAACCTATATTAGTTATTATAAAAATCATACCAAAATATGTGACAATTAACTTGTTTCTATCCATATCTGGCAAATTATAACATCACACTTGTGATTTGAATCATTTCAAAAGATTAATGTTTCTTCCATATTCATAAAATATAACTGCGTTAATCGTATAAAGATTTTATAACACCAATGATATCATTGTAAATTGACATCAAATTATTTATATTATACTAATAAAATATTCTTTTATCTGTGTTAAGTTGTTTATTAGATATATAATGTTTAAATAACTTTATGTTGAATTGATTGTTCGAAAACTATTGTGCGGAATTTTTCCATAATCAGAAATACTTTATTTGAGATTTATAAAGTAAAAACAATACATTTTTTCTCTGGATGATATTTGTGTTTAGAAAAAGCATGCTTTTAAGAAAAAATATCAAAAGGTTTTAAAATATTATTCACGAGCGGTACTTTTTACCAATTTCCTAATGTATATATTTATATATTTATTTTTAAACCTATCTTCTGAGTTTTTTTCACTTCATCTAGGTTCAACTTAGGTTCTACTTTTTAAATATTACTTGATTCAAATCTAATCAGTTTCAAACAATTAACATAAATAGTTTATTTTGAAAATATATCTTATTTTAAATAAGTTTAATTATCTAATGCTTGCCAATCTTAATTAAAAAATGTGGCCAATGTGATAGTTTAAAAAGACACTAAGTAAAATATGCGCAAATAGCGATTTGTTCATATATATTATGTCCATTAATAAACAAATGAGTTTTGTATATCTTTCAACGATGAAATATATGGCTCTTTTATACTATTTATATTTATAACTATTTATATTATTTATACACAATTTTATACATCCATCTAAGGATTTGCAGAAGGTAACAAATAACTTTGATTTATAATTACAAATCATGATTCAAAAAAACTTAACTAATATATTAATCACTTAATCACTTACAGTTTTTTGACATACTAAACGTTTTACAAGTAAAGCAGTATGATTGGATTGGAAACGCGAGGATATTTCATGCATGGAATGAAATGTCCTAACTGGACTGTATTCGACAAGATACAGCAATACAAAGAGATTTTGGTGTTAGAAGAAAAAGACAGAGAAGTTTCCAGGTATGAAAAGAATAAACTTGAACGAGGCGAAGAAAGACAGTTAGCCAAAATACGAAATACAGTAAGAAATAAACAGAACAGTTTAAGAAATTTTTAGAAAGTGACCAAAGGAGGGTTTGGTCAACCTTAGCAAATCACGAACGTATACAACGTGCATTCGGAAACCATAGTTCGGCGGTTGTGTCTGAATATTTACAAAAAGAAAATGATCACAAACGAAAACAATTAGATCTACTAAAATATCGTAAAAAACAGCTTATGAAAAGTTACAGATCTTTAGTTTCGAAAGCGAACGATTTGGAGGATAAAGTTTTAGTTGAACGTGCTGGTATTAAAACTGCTATCGAGAAGAAAAGACAATTATTAGCATTGAAGGTGCAAAATAACAGTATGAGAGTGATAGCAGCAAAATATATCTTTTATTCTTATGAAAAAATTCTAAAAATCCTTAAGAAAGATGAAACGTATTATGAGATTGCTCTAAATAGCTTAACACGAGATTCTGTTGATCAATCTAATTTGATAGTAGCAGCCACCAAAATGGGGCAAATTGCTACGGAGCATGTAGATGATCTTAAAAACGAATATGAATCTATAGAAAATGATATTAGGAAGAACATGGCTGTTAGAAACCGGACTTTGGTTGAATATAGAAAGTTGCAAGAAGATTTGGATAAAAATATTAAGATCTTGCTTCCGCCTGGCGAACAAATTTACGATATTGTGGAATCGGAACCAGGAACGCCCCCCGAAGCTCATCTAGACGTTGAGCTAAATAATTTCAAGACTGTTCTTCATGAACTTGGTCAAAGTATTGGAGTAAAAGCTGACAAGGAAATAATGGATGAATGTAGGCGTAAAAAGTTCGTAAAGGAACATTTGAAAATAAAAACTGATGATTTAAAAGAAAAGGCCCATGACTTAGCAAAATATGCAAATAACTCTGAAATATTATTTGGTTTGGTGAAACATACATATAACCAAGATAAAATTGCATACTTAGAGAAGAAGAAATCACTATTATCGTCAATAAAATATGAGAACCAAAGACGTGAAAATGCTCATAAGTTGAATAAAAATTACTCTGAATTGTTATTGGAATCTCGTAATCGATTTCAACATATGAAAACCTTGTTGACAACTGTTGGTGACGACAAAGAAATAGAAGAGTCAGGTGCAAAATTACATTCACATATGCCTTTAGTATCAATTACTCACACACAAGATCTAACAGAGATTAGAGGAGAAAATACTGAAAAGTTTGAAGACTTGTCACAGGTTTTCACCGAAGTTAAAACAAAGCTCAAATTATTACATGACAATTTTGAACCCCATGAAAAATTTAATACATGTGCAGAATTATTTTATGATCGGTTGACCAGAGAAGATTTTGCATGTGATCAAGAAGTAAAATTAGATCTTTTGGAGGGGATATCATTTGAGGACGCTTATATACCTACAAATGCATCTATTAAATTGGAAAGTGCTCGAATAGTTAGGGATAATACTATAGACGAACTAGTGGTAGCAGCACAAGAAGCTAGGGCCAGAAGGCGGCCAGGATTAATTTTCAGAAAGTACTTAAGAGAAGAGAAAAGAAGAAGAAAACGTAATACATGTGCTTTGTGAAATTCACAAATATGTAATTAAAAAATAACATTAAAAAACAATAAACATCAAAGTACAGCTTATAAGAACTTATGAGTTTTAATGAAACCACAAAGTAATTCTACATAATAAAATTACATAATAATGTGATCAAGAAGTAAAATTAGATCTTTTGGAGGGGATATCATTTGAGGACGCTTATATACCTACAAATGCATCTATTAAATTGGAAAGTGCTCGAATAGTTAGGGATAATACTATAGACGAACTAGTGGTAGCAGCACAAGAAGCTAGGGCCAGAAGGCGGCCAGGATTAATTTTCAGAAAGTACTTAAGAGAAGAGAAAAGAAGAAGAAAACGTAATACATGTGCTTTGTGAAATTCACAAATATGTAATTAAAAAATAACATTAAAAACAATAAACATCAAAGTACAGCTTATAAGAACTTATGAGTTTTAATGAAACCACAAAGTAATTCTACATAATAAAATTATATAATAATGTGATCAAGAAGTAAAATTAGATCTTTTGGAGGGGATATCATTTGAGGACGCTTATATACCTACAAATGCATCTATTAAATTGGAAAGTGCTCGAATAGTTAGGGATAATACTATAGACGAACTAGTGGTAGCAGCACAAGAAGCTAGGGCCAGAAGGCGGCCAGGATTAATTTTCAGAAAGTACTTAAGAGAAGAGAAAAGAAGAAGAAAACGTAATACATGTGCTTTGTGAAATTCACAAATATGTAATTAAAAAATAACATTAAAAAACAATAAACATCAAAGTACAGCTTATAAGAACTTATGAGTTTTAATGAAACCACAAAGTAATTAAAAATAATTAGAATATTACATTCTGCTGATAATAGTGTTGTTTAATCTTTATATTCACTATATTGAATTAGTTAATGTTTGTTTCACACAACTGAACGTGATTATTAGTTAGATTTCTTTTATTTTAATTTTTCAAATTATATCTGTAAAACATATTTATATAACCTATCAGTTACCTTTTAATATTTAGAATGTAAAACAAAGAAACTTAATATGAATATTGCTTTTAGAAAATTTCAGCTTTGTTAAAAACAGATATTTCTATATGTAATTATAATTAATGTTCAATGTTTCTATTATTATTTAACACATAACAATAGTTAACTGATTATTATTATCCAACGAATTCATAAATTTTGAAGTCGGTTTATAAGTTTGAAGTTTATGATAATACATTACCGTCTCCTAAGAACAAGATTTTGAATCACAACATTAAAAATAGGTAATTTTGCTTAAATCATGAATAAATAAGACAATTATGTAACATAAAACGATATTTTAATGGTTTCATTTCTATATAATTTACAAATAAAATTTTTATTAAATTATGTTAATATACATAACAGTTATTATTATATTTTTTAACAAATTAAGTCAAAATCAATTACGTCTCCTTAGTGAATTGAGTAAAGCGAACTTTAAGCGAAATTTAAGTTAAACTACATGTTATTATATTATACTTTTGAGATAACAAAATCCAAAGCAGTTTTTTTTTCATGTGAACTAATAGACCGAACAGCATTTATTAGCTTTTCTTTGCTGTTTTTCTAATTTAAATAGTTTTCTGAAGAATGCTCCTGGTTTTTTCCTGGCGGCGACTTGCGCGGCAACCAGAGCCAATTCATCTACAGTATTATCCTTAACGAACTGAGCACTTTCCATCTTAATTGAGGCATAACTGGGTAATCTGCTATCTTCTATTACGAGCCCAGCCAATAAATCTATTTCAGCTTCTTCTATGCCACCATCAATAGTTTCCATCATGGCTTTGCTGAAGAACACTTCTGCAGTCCTGGCTAATTTACTATTAGGTTTGAAAGCGGAATATAAAATCTTTAATTTTTCTATATTTATATTCATCATAGTTTCACTGTCTTCCCCTTCTGGAACTAACGTCAAGGGATTCCTACCTGGGAACGCTTTGAGAGAAGCTCTTCTCATTTTAAAAAATACTATAAGATCACCATGCTCGTCTGTTACAAGTTGTGTTTCCGATTCATGTTCACCTTTAATCGAAACATTTTTCAGTACATTCCACATGTGTCTGAAGCCCTTTCGAATAGATAAAAGATCACTTGCTTTAGAAATCCTGTCTGTTCTTATCTGTTCAATTTTCTTTTGGTGACTCCTAATTTTTCTCAAAATATCTCGTTTTGTATTCAAGTATTTTATTTTATCTTTATTGTAAGTATGAGAGCAGATGTTTAGTATAACTTCCAAGTGTAGTTTATTTTGTAATAAAGTTTCGTGTAAAATTATTGTTTTCTGTCTCATATCTGTTAAGCGACCATGTTGTTTCACTTGTAAAAGTAGTCTTGGATAAATGTGTTCATAGCCAGATACGAGAGCTTCCTGTTGTACTTGGTTCAGTATTTTTTCCATAAGCTTTAACTCGCCTAGTACCGAATCTTGTGCTGCATCAGTTATTGCACCTTTATTTATATTATAATCGTCAACATCGGTAGGGACTAATTGTTTAACGGAATTGTTCATTCGGTGCAATACTTCGGTAAACTTTCTTAGTGTTTTTTCACGCTCAATCATATTTGATCTGATACCTTTCTCTAAATTATCATATTCAGTTGATAAATCATCGACATATTCAGTCACCACTTGACCCATTTCAGTTACTGCTAATAGCATTTGTGATTGATTTCTACAATCGGCTTCTAAACAATCTAAAACTGAATTATAATATATTGAGTCCTTGTATAAAATTCTTAATATATGAACATAGGTTTCTCGGACACTTGTGGCTGCTATTCTTCGCATAACTGTCACTTGTCTTGCTTGGCATGTTTCTTGCATAAGTTTTTCACCTGTAGTTTTGATACCAAATTTTTTCAATATCAGTAAGTCTTCAAGTTCACTTGTTTTCAACACAAGTTGTTTGTACCTATCCATAAGCTTGCGTTTCTTATATAAAAGTCTGTCTTTAGTTTTTCGTTTCTGGTCAATCAATTGAATCAAAACGTCAGTGAATGCTTCTGGTGAGTTTCTTCCATAGGCCAATTGTATTTGACGATGTCCACATAAAGTTGACCACAATTTATGTTGATTTCCAAGCAAAGCATTTCTCAAATCATCTTGTTTTTGTTTCGCTGTCTTACGTAGCTCGCCTAATAATCTGTCCTCACGTCGTTTTATAGTGTTTTTAAGATACTTTGTTACTTCACTATCTCGTTTCTGTAGATTTATAGCTTCTTTTAATTGCTTCACTTTTCTTATAGTTGTCCACCTTTCATCTTTCATGCCGTGTATATTTTGACCTTTTAAGTCTAATCCTACCATTTTGAAAATAATTAAAATCCTCTTTAGTTTAATTTAAAGTTATGGGAATTGTTATTCAAATATTGGAAAATATTTTATATAAAATCGTATTAAAATATTTTTGAAAACAAAATTATCTGTACATAATTGATTGTCATATTTTTGCAATCATTGTCACAAGTGCAACTAAAATAAAAGTTATTCAAAATTTATGAACATTATTTGTCATGTTGATATAGATAAGGAAATGCTAGGTGGAATAAACAAAATTAATAAATATGCGTTAATATATCTAAACATACAGAAACAAAAAAATGGAAGCTCTGCGAAAGTAATTAAAAATTATTTGTTTATAGGTCTTAATATTGGTAGAAATTTGATTAGTAAACCGATAGTGTTTAAATGTTTTATTATATGGAGTTAAATTATATAATATACTTTCTTATCATGTTTATTTTTTATGGTTATTTGCATAGGATTACACGACTTATGGAAGATTTCTTTATTTTACTTAATAGGAACTTAATAAGAGCAATACCAATAAAATCCAAAATTATATGATTTGTTCATTAAGGTATTAGGTACAAAATAATAGAAATAGGTAATTATATTAATAAGGAGAACAACATTTTCCGTGTAACATGTTTTCCTTTCTCTTCCTTGCCTCAATCATAAACAATTTTCTGAAATATGCTCCTGGCTTTTTCCGGGCTGCAACTTGAGCCGCAACTAGAGCTAATTCATCAACAGTATTGTCTTTAACAAATTGAGCGCTTGCTGCATGGACAGACGCATTATTAGGTAGCCTGAGATCTTCTATTATGAGCCCTTCTAATAAATCTATTTCCTTTTCTTTTTCGTCCCAATCAATGGTAGCAGACATTTTTCGACTAAAGAACACTTCAGCTGCCCTAGCCATTGAACCAATCGGTTTAAATTCTTTAAATAAGACAGCAAGTCTTTTGTTAACTTCATCCAATAAATCAATTGAATTTTCACCTTCAGGAATAGAGGTTATTGGAACACGGAATGGTTCTACCTTTAACGACCTCCTTTTTGCTCTGACCATTAATAGAGCAATATTTTCTTCTGAATCTGGATCTGGCGGGAATAATATATTGGACGGCGGATCTCCTGGTGCTCGTATTACTTTTAGAATGTTTGATAAGTGATTTAAACCATTTCGGATTTTTAATAACATATCACCGTTGCTTTTTTCCTTTTCTCTTAAACTTCCTATCTTTTTTTGCTGATTTCTTGTTTCTCTTAATAAAGAACGTTTTCTTTCCAGGTATTCTATTTTCTCTTGATTATAAGTGTGAGACACCAGATTCAATATAGCTTCCAATTGTAGTCTAGCCAAGCGCATTTGTCTATATAGCTCGGTTGTATTTTGTGCCAAAGTTTCCAAACGTTGTCTTTGCTGTTTCTGCGTCAATAAAGATGGATAGATATATTCGTATCCTGAAGCTTTTGTAATTATTTGGATGCCAAGTAATACTTTGCTTACATTTTCTAGTTCATTTGACAATTGTTTATCGTGTTCAATCGATTCCAGTGCTTGTTCATTTAGAATCAATATATCACTATCAGATCTGACAATCTTCTTGAATGCTTTCGTCAAATTGTTTAATAAGTCCGTATACTCTCTAAGAGTCTTTTCGCGTTCGCGCATATTATATTTAATACCTTGTTCAAGATTGTTACATTCCACAGTTATGTCATCTAAATATTCAGTTACAATCTGGCCCATCTCCGTTACTTCTAATAGCATTTTCGATTGATCATAACTATCCGCTTCCAAACAATCTAGAACGGACTCATAATATATCGCGTCTTTTTTCAGAACTTTTAAGACTTTGATATAAGTTTCTTTAATACTCGTAGCCGCAATTCTTCGCATTTGATAATTTTGCTTTTCTAAACAAATAAAGGTCATTTTTTTCTCTAGAGGTGTTTTGATGCCAGATTTTTGCATCATAAGAAGAATATCTTGTTCGCCTTTTTTAAGCACCAAATTTTTATATTTTTCCATGAGCTTTTTTTTTGTTGTAATTATATTTATCCTTTAGTTTTCTTTTGTAATCGATCATTTGATAAAGATTTTCAATAACATCTTCCGGTTTGTTTCGGCCTTGCGCCAATTGTATAGTACGATGCTCGCCTAAGGTGGACCACATACGATTCTGATTTCCCAGCAGCGCATTTCGCAGCTTATCCTGCTTAAGCTTTGCAAGCTTGCGCAGATCACCGAGAGCTTTTTCTTCGTGACGTTTATTTTTAATCTTTTCATAAACTGTTACTTCTTTATCTCGATTTGCAACGATATCAACATCTTTATATTGAGCGACCTTTTGAAAGTGGTCCATCTGCTATCTTTCATGCCATGCAGCTTCTGACCGTGTAAATTAAGGCCAATCATTTTGATATGAAGCTTTGAAGTTTCTATTGTCAAACTAAAATTACCATCAATTATAAAATTAAATATACGAGTACTAATTTTTAAAATAACACGAAAAATATATCGAATTAATATTAATATAGATATATTTAGTTTATTTTAAATTTAAAAATTTAAAATATTTCTGAAGAATAAAATTTTATGAAAAAAAAACAAATTACGATATGCAATTTTGTTATTTAGCACATTGTGTTATGATAATTGAAAACTTGAATTAAAAATACATTATTATTAAAATTAAAATACATTAAGCAATGCTTTTTGTGCCCTGTTACAAATATATTTAAGTTATATATATTATATATATAATATACATATACAGAAT